AGTAGGATTGCTGGGTTATATAGTAGTTTTATGCTTAACCCTTTGAGGAACTGCCAGTGTTTTATAGCTGCTGCACCAGTTCACATTCCTAAAACGAAGGTTAACATCTCTCTACACTGTTCTCAACACCTGATATTTTCCTTTTGTTTTTTTCTTTTAGCCATCCTAATACATGTGAAATAATAACCTCATTGTAGTTTTGATTTGCCTTTAGTGAATGATGAATGATGAATGTGTTTATTGGTCCTTTTGTATCTTTGGAGAAATGTCTGAAGTCCTTTATCATTTTTTAGTTGAGATGTTCATCTTTTTCTTGTTGAGTTGTTAAGTTTTCAAAATATTCTGAACATTAGACCCTTATTGGATATATTGTGTAAAAATATTTTCTTCCATTTGGTAGATTGTCCTTTTAATTTCTTGCTAATATCCTTTGATGCACAAATGTTTTTAATTTTGATAAAGTCCAATTGATTTTTTTTTTAGTTGTAGTTGCAAAAGCAACATTTATTGCCTATCTAAGAATCCATTGTTACATCCAAAGTCATAGTCATCCCTCCATTGTCTTCTGTATGTTTTATAGTATTGGTCCATATATTTAGATCATTGATGCATTTTCATTTAATTTTTTAATATGGTGCTAAGTAGGCACACAGTTTCATTTGGTTTTTACATATGGATATCCAATTGTTCTTAATTTCATTTTTCTTAGCTCCAATATTTATTTTTTTATTCTTTGGACTATGTTTGCATTAATTTGACACTTCTTCTGATTCCTTATCGTATACAATTTTTGCTTTGTGATCTTTCTTCTTTTTAAATTTTCAGTTATAAATTTCCTTCTGAGCACTCCTTTTGCTGCCTTATATAAGTTTGGGTTGTTTTGTTTTTCATTTTCATTTGTAGGAAAAGGCAAGAAAAGGACTATAAATTCATCTTTGGATATGTTATATTTGAGGTACCCGTGAGACATAAGTAGAGGTGATGATTAGGTAGATGTCTTTACGCCTGGAATTCACAGGATGGGCATGGACTACAGACACAGATTTGGGAACAATTGGCATGTAAACAGAAGTCATATGGGGTGGGTAGTAATTTAAATCCCATGAATGATGAGTGAGAGGCAGAAAGGATAAACAAAAAGGGGGAAGCCTGTCACAAATGCCAACAGTCGACAATGCAATAGGGAGGGAGAGGCCAGCAAAAGTGGCAGGAAGGAGATGCCAAAAGACTGGTAATGAGGAAAGGAAGCAGAGAAAAGAAATGGAATTCTGTAACAAATGGTGCAAAGCTGTTGAGATGTTGACAAATTAGGAGTGGAAAGTTTTCTTTGGGTTTTGTGACCTGCCGTAAATGGTAGTTCCAGAGGCTGCAGTTAGGTAGAACAATGAGGGAGGTGACAAGGTTGGATGGTCTAAAGATCCTGAGGGAAACACTGTATGAGGAATGAGGGGCACATGGTGGCAGGTGAATAGTACCCCAGGACTGAAGGAAAGCTTTATTCAATGCACTGATTTTGAAAAGTTAATTACTTATAGGAAGGAAGCAATATAAAAGAAGGATGAGATTCCAGGGGACAAGGGATAATCATCGATATCATGGCATTCCTCAGAAACCATCCTTTATTGCTTTGTTGGATGGCTTGATTGTCTGTCATTTCTTCCACTAAGTTTAAGTTCTTTTGGTGACAGGTGATTTTCCTGTTTGGATAAATGCTTTCAACTCCCAAATTCATCCTCTACCTATCTCCCACATAAGTCCATTCTAGACACACTAAAGTCACGCACATAAATTCTGTTGTGATTACTGCACTTAATTGATAGTTCATAGTTCACTTGGTGAATCAAAACATTTTAATGCTTATAACCTTGGAAAGACATTTGGCAGTGACTCTTGTCAGTAGCTCTCTCTTCTGTCTTAATAAAATATGATAGACTTTGTTTGCATTCTCTCATTAGTATTCAGTAGCAATGAATGAATACTAAGTTCTCATTGAATAATTTAGTTCAAAATGTTCACCCTTTGACGAGCAAGTACAACCTAACAAGATGACACTATGGGCTGAATCTATTCTCACAAGCCATTGTTTTAGCATACTTAACATTTTAAGTGCCAGATGAGACCCTGAAAAACAGGTTATACAAAGCTACAAATAAACCAGGCCCAGGATGCTGACATACTTCTTTCCAAAGAAGCAATTTACTTGGAGCTCTGCCTGGCTTAAGTGGACAGATATGTCCCATTCTTCAGCAAACTACCTATTACCTGCAGGAGAAATGCAGACACAAAATAATTCTGATAAGAGAAGTACAAGCTACATAGAGGTAGGGCAAACTTTTGTGACACACAGACCAGATCCTAGAATTTAGAAAGATAAGGATAATTCTTTTTAATTATTACAGATTTTATGGTTGAGAATCCAAATTGAACTACTCAGCATGGGCTAAAGGGACCTAGATTTGTCATGGCTGTGGGGACCTGAAACTCTGAGGTCATCCTGCTGTCAGTGGGTCATCTCTCCCTTTAGAATGTCCCCCTTTCCCCTTTCCTATTCCTTCTAGTAAACTCATGCCTGTTATTTCAAGCAACATGTCTGGAAATTTTTTGACTTGATTACAAGAATCAGGGTTTGAAGGGGAGCTTCGTGCTGCTTTAGTTTCCTAGCAGGCCCCTCTCCTTAGCAAAAGAAAGTTCCGATTTTCTGTTGGTGGCTTCACTCCCATTTTCTCCCCTGCCCCCTCCAACCTTCCAATTGCCATTAAAAGACCAATCGAGAATTCTTGGATCACTGTGTTTGCTCTGCATCCTGGTCTCAGATAATAATGTCTTGAGAAAGTTTTATTGTTTGTTTCTTAACTCAAGCTATATTTTTAAGACCCTACAATTGCCCAAGCATTAGAATTCGCCACCAAGGGGGCCCTGATAGAGTTCTGTAATGAGTAGGAATTGAGTGTATCCAAACAGATTGACATTCAAGTCTTGCTTCTGCCATTTAAAAATTCCCAGGCGAGGCTGGGGGTGTGGGTCAGTGGCAAAGCACTTGCCTAGCATGTGTAAGGCCTTGTATTAGGCCCCAGTACTGCACACGAAGTAAAAATAAATGAAAAAACTTCCAGGCTTGGACAAGACACTTAATTGAGCCCTAATTCCTTGTTTTAAAGTGACAGTGGCTTTACTTACTTTGCAATTTAACGACTGTCAGGATTTGATTCATGGTTGTTTCAGTGTCTTCATCTTGTTTCCAACTTCACCTTCATCAGGAAGACTGTGTGGTTTCAGTTCCTCGTCTCCTCTGGTGTTCTCATTGTGGCCAATTTGTACTTGAATCTGTCATGTGCTAAAGAAAGGACCTGGGCCTTTTTCTCATTCCTATGTGTGTTGATGAATGGAACATATTATGTGGTGAAGATTCACTGACTACAATGTTGACAACTTTACTTGGCAGCTGGTCGTATTCTATTCTTTTATCGCTTAGAAAGTGATGTTTATTAATATCTAACTTTTATTTATATACCTGCTTGGTGGTGCGTGCAGCACAGATAATGCAAAAATGTCACTTCCTGGTTTAAAAGAGCTTGTTCTCTAAAATGACAGAAAATTTTACACAGCCCTTAAGGGGTAAAAGATGGAGAACAGTGTGTGCTGGCAGCGGGTGTCACTGTGTGACCCAGTGTGCTTTCTATCCCCCTCCTACGTATACTTCCAATCTGTTTCACGCACACCTTAAAGATTTCTGTAGCCCCATATAAACGTACTAGGTCAGCCTGTGGTGCAGCCTGCTTGTCTGCAGGGTTTCTCACAGAGGCAATGTCAAGTTGAGTATTTTTTCCCACCTGTGATTCCTGAAGGAAATATGTCACATCTATTGAGTTGTAGGGTAGGGATCTTTCCAGGGTCCCAGAAATGGGAAGGGTCTCCAAACCACAACTGAGCAGAAGGCTGAGAAGACAGAAGGAATCAGAGTTGAGAACTCACAGGGACTTAAGAGACAAACCTGACTTCCAACAGGCTGGCTACAGATACAGGCCAAGAGCTATTGAAAGCTTGTCACCTAGCAACATGAGACCAGCTAATAAATGGGAGTTGGAGGCTTTTCATTTTCCCAGACTGCAGGTAATTTTTTCTAGGGGAAAAGTATTCCTTGTATTTTTTTTTCCTGAAGTCTAACATTTGCTTTGCATGTCAATTAGATGACAGAATTTACTGAGTTCTCCCTGGATGCAGAGTGATATCTTTTGAGGTGCTCCCACTTCAGCAGTGTGACTACTGATGCTATATTTAACATTGAACACTCTGGAGTAAGCTAGCAAGCACCACTTAATGCAGAGTAGCAGCGGTGGCTGCATACATTTCTAAAATAACAAGGCAGGTGGAAAGCAGAAGCTGTAACGAGGCAGTGGTAAATAGAACATCAGCTGAACTTCTTAAGAGAAATAAGTCCCCAAAGCATAATGGTATCCTACACTGTGGAAATATTGGTAATTCTTAGGTTTCATTCTTAGGTGACTAAAGGAGCTATCAATAGCCAGGCTAGGAGAACAGCTATGAAACATGCAAACTCTCAGCTGTGCTTCTCAACCTAGAGCTGCTCAGTTGCCATCCACAGGCCAGTACTGATTTGCAAATGTTATTTGTCCACAGTAGCTATGGAAATTGAGAGCAATTATGGGCAATCTTTATTAGCAATTGGACAGAGTAATTTAATATCTGCTAAAGCTAATATTTTCCAAAATCAGTGCTTGTATTTTATGTCTTTTATAATAATTAATTTCTATTGTATTTAAATAAAAGTATTATTTCATGATGGATTAGAAATTAAAAACACAGAAAACACTGGCTCTTTGACACAGGCTGAGAAGCACTGCTCTGGGCCAGTTGTCAATAAACTTTCCCACAAACACAGATACTAAATTCTTTATGATTTCTGGGCCACAGAGTCTCAGCTACAACTAGTAACTCAGCTTTCATAGAACTTAAACAGCTGTAGAAAATGCATACATGGCTATGTTCCAATAAAACTTTATTTTAAAAACAAGCAGTAATCCCTGCTTTAATCCAGTATATCTCAAACTTGACTGAGCAATCAACTCATGAAGTTTTGATTCCTAATTTATGAGGCAGGTCTTGGTATGATACATTCTGGACAATATTAAAGCTGCTGTTATTGTTGCTTCTGGTTCATGGACTCACTCTAAGCGTTAAACCTGATGAAGATAAAATTGGAGATGAAATTAAAAAGAGGGTTTGAATCCACACTGATATTTTCCAGCAGAAGTTCTTCATCCTTCCAACTTCAGTTTTCTTATCTGAAAAATGGAGATGATCATTTCTATCCCAATTTCTGTGAAATTCAAATGAAATCATGCATGTGAAAACTTTTATGAAGAACAAAGTCCTGCTAAAAGGTGTATTGTAGATATGAGGTTTTTCATTACTCTTAATTTTCTTTAAACTACTTCAATTTAAAATGAGGATATGTGTGAAAATTAACTTTCATCCATACACAAGGGAAGTTCATTTTTATTTGATGTAGTCTAGTGAAAAACACACATTTGTTTGTGATTAATTAGCATCTGAAGGACTGTTATAATGAGTACATGCCACAGAGATGGTTAAGGGAAGCAAGTAAAAAAGTGCTATGTAAATATGCTTTAGAGGTCTTCTTACTAATGGTGTTAAATAACTATTCATTATGAAAATGAGTGCAGTTCAACAAATGGTTAAAAGACCACAAGCATGAACAGTATATGTGTAGTGAACCAACTAATAGGGTAACTTTCAGCCTCAAAGTGAGCCTTATGTGTGAAAACAGCTTCCTGTCTTGTCTTCTACTTAATGGAAGCCAGCAATGCCCAACCAAAAGTTGGCCTCATAATACAGTCAGAACAGTGTTGTATTTTGTTCATTGATGGGACTTTGCCAGATTTTCTCAGAGTTCCTGAAAAGACAAACAATCAAGACCTCACAGAGCTTACGGAATAAGCTATATGACTGTTTTTGTTTGTTGGTTGGTTGGTGTCTGCTTGCAAATAAATGTTTATGAGGGTTAAGATACAGCATAAGACTTGCTTTCAGTTGCATAGTGATAAGGTTGTGGGGGAAGAGATACATAGACAACCTATCTTATTTCTCAACCTAACAGTTGTGATGAACAAATTGTCTTAGGCAGCCTGCCACATAGGTACTATTATTATCTTTATAACACAGGATGCTGCTAAAGATTAACATTCTGTCCTCTTTTTCTAAATGAAGGTATGAGAAAGCCATACTTTCCTTTAGAAAGGAAGTTACTGAGTTACTGAGAGAAGCCGTACTCACCCCATTGGAACACAGACCAGAGGGCAACTGTGTCACTGAAAATAGTTGTGCTGAGAAGGGCTGGGGTAGAACAATTGGTTCTTTTTTCTACAATCTTGAGTTGTAATAAGACCCTTTATGCCCATAGTTGCAGAAAATGGGCTTTATCTAGAAAGGAGAGGAGAGTAGTTCTTCAGGATTTAAAATGGAAAAACTGAAATATTTGAAAAGAGAGATCTCTTTGGGAAATAAAAATGAAATTTAGGTTTCTAAAATTGGAGGGTTGCTGAACCAATTTTGACACAATGTTCACAAGGCTAGTGATGGCCTTAGGATATGGCTTTGAGCATCAAGGAGGCACAGTCACCCTGTCAACACCAGCCTGGGAGGAGGAGTACAGTTGAGGACTCAGCCTCCCTCTTGGTATTGCAAGTCTAGATTTCCAGGCTCCTTTATAACATACTCTCTGAACTCCTCCTTGTATTTATAGCAGTAGACAAGTTTAAACAATCTTAACCTTGGGGACAAAGTGACCTGTGAAGATGGAACAGAGTATATGATGTGTTTTAAAAGACCTCTGGTCACTTGAATGCCATTGGTATGAATACCTATGGAGGGGACAAGGGAGAAATTCTTGGTGGATGTTTTTTTGGCCTCACCAGCTTTCCTGAGGCTGGGTGGTAACCTGAGGGTGATGATCTTACCTGAGGCCAGCTAAAATTGAGAGTTAAGAGCTGCAAATTTGGGGGCTCAGTTGGGGATTCTCTGGGCTAACTCAGTCTAAGAGAAAGGGATCTTCTGTCTACAAAGACAATGTCCTGGGATGGGCCACCATCACTAAATTAGGAGGAGTTTTCAAGAGTGATACCATGTGCCAGTAAAAAGTAAAAGCACCTTGATCGAGGTCTCTATTTTCCTTCCAATTGATGTAAAAGCTGAACATATCCCTTCCTTCAACTTCATCAACTGTATGCCATTTGATAATTCAAGCGGAAAACACAACTCTGAAAAGTAAAATGTCTGATAATGAAGAGGCTGGGATCTTACAACATTAATTAGAAAACACAGGAGAAGTGACCATACTAGCCTTCCTCATTTATGACAGGGTTAATAGGTTTGTTGTAGGAATCAAATGAAATATAAGATGTATAAATCCTTAAGAGAAAAATAATAGTAGAAGTAATAAAGTTGTCATAAGTGCTGTATATTGCAATTAGTATCATAGGTTGTTGTAGGAATTCAGTTTGACATGACTGTAGCCATGTTGTCATAACTGCTATAATTATTTCTGGCAAACTCTGGTGGGTTTTTTTCTGCAAGATTTTATAGCATACTATAAATAAACAAAATCATTAATGAGCCATGTGGAGCTTTCTATTTAGGACTTTAACACTGTGAGCACAAGGATTATGCATGATGTTTTTGATATTAGCTCAAGGTAAAGCAGGTACATTCCAACTTGGGTGAGGTCACATTTGTCCTGGCCATTTTACAAGCCCCTTCTTCTGACCTGAATCTTAGAGGTCCACTAGTCTTGTTGCCACTGAGGACCATGCTTCTGTCATGTAAGTAAGTCCCCAATAAATTACACTTTGCAATCCTGGATCTCAATTTTTACTTTTTAAAGTCTGTGTCTGGAAGACTGTTATTGGTTGGACCATATTCCCTAAAAATGTATTTTCAAGTACTAACCCCCAGTACTATCGCATGTGACATTATCTGGCAATAGGGCATTGGCAAATATAGTCAAGTTAAGATGAAGTTATAAGGGTGAGTCCTAATCCAATACAACCAGTATTCTTATGAGAAGAGACAGAGAAACTTTTGCACACAGGGAGAATCCTATATGATGATGGAAGAAAACTTTGGAGTCATGGTGCCATAAATCAAAGAATTCCTGGACCTACCTTGAGGATGGGAGATGCAAGGAAAGATCCCTTCCTGGTATTGACAATGTGATTTAAAGCCTCTACCCTTTAGAACTGTGAAAGAATAAATCAGGATTTCTTAAGCTGACCACGTTTGTGGTACTTAGTTAGGGCATCCCTTAGAGAATTAATACAAGGACTAATCAATTCATGATGTCAAACACAGACAAAGTACTGATAAATGTAAAAACATAAAGTACTGTACATGCAGCTTGGTGTTGAAAAATAAGCTTAATCAAAACTAGAAACTTTTTATAGCAGGTATACATGGTGGCTTCCAGGGTAGTTCACAACATATGGACCTTTTAGACATTGGAGGGAAAAGAGATGGGACATTGTTCAGATACTGTCTTCCTCAAAGCTTCCTGTTCACTTCCATTCCCGCTTATTTTTCCTCTTTTCTCTGTCTTTACCCGACCGAGTAATCCCTAAAAAATCTCCTCCTGTTTTGCAATGTCTTTATTATGGTTGGAAATAAAAAATGTAGGTTAAAAATATCATTGTTTGAAAGAGGACCAACATTTCCTAGAAATCTGTCCTAGGACCCTTCTCCTGAGAGCAGGTTTTACCCAATGTAAGTAAACATAGAAAATGAAAATGCAAGTGGTACCCTGGGACTTCAGCTAAAAGCTTCATTCTTACTGTTTCTTGAAATGAGTGGGTGAATATACTAAATGATGAATTCCTTCTCCTGAGGTAGTGCCTAGTTCTTGGGTTCACTGAAAGAAGAAACTGAGTAACCAGCAAGTGAGCACCCAGCTGTGTTTCATGGGAGGAGAATTGAGGTCTGTCAATAAAAGGGATGTAGAGCCTCCTGGAAAGAAAAAAATAGGGCTCAACTCCCCCTCCCTATGCTCAATGCCCTCCACAAAGCTGGCACTCCAAAGTGAGAGGGAAAGCTCTTGGGAAAAGAAATTGAGAAATAAGTTCTGAAGGCTGAGATGGAAATACCAGCAAGGAGATCTTTTGAGTTGGTTTCCTAGCAACACAAAGCCAGTGTGCTTTCAGCATTTTGTTGTCATTCCTTGAAAATAGTGACTCCTGAAAAGAGTCTGAGCAATAACTAAAAAAGAGAGAAGAAAGAACTTTCTAGCAGTTAATATTTTATTCAATTTCTGTATCTTAACAAAAAATACATTATTATAATTCATTTTACCTATAATGCTGCCTGTTCATTAATTTATGTCTTCTCAGTAATTAAAGAACACATGTGGTTCCACACACACACACACACACACAAAAAAAAAAATAGAAACAGGAACATTATTATTTGTGACCCTAGTATTACGAACTGACCTAAACCAGTTTATCCAATCACAAATGTGAGATCACAGAGGCAAACTAACACTAAAGGTCTCCTATTCCATACCCTCACAGGCAGAAGGAATCGAAGCAAGTCAGAAAAACTCTGCTATAATTCAAACCATTATGAACAAGAAGACCCCAAATCGTTAACTGTGCTATTCTTTCCCCTCTCAGAAATTTCCAGTTCCCTGTCTTTGCATGCACATTCAGGAATTTTTGTGAAATGTTTATTCAAGACAGATGTGAGCTGAACCATTCTAGTAGCCAGATTCAGTTAACCTGTTCATCAGTATTTAGGTAGAATCTTTGAGCAAGATCTGCCATATACTGAAGTGATGGTACTCAGCAGTCAATTGAAACTCTTAATCCCAGGGATTTATGTAGCCTAAACAAGGGTGGAGATACACATACAATATTTCCAACCAAATTCACAGATTTTAGGTACCATTTGTCTTACCAATTAAAAATGATTTATAACATGTTTTGTGCAATTAATAAAGACAGATATTGAGTGTTAAAATTTATAGAAGTCAACTGGGGAATCTAATTTGAGTTTTTCAGGTATTAACAAAGCATCCTTAAGGCATGTTTATCTGATTAGAATATATACTTAAAACATTTGCTAACTCAGTCCTCATCTTTAGGGTGTACATAAAGTCAATTTATGTACATTGCTTAAAACTTTTTTTTTTAATTTAATGTTTATGTATTTATTTTTATGTGGTGCTGAGGATCAAACCCAGTGCTTCACATGTGTGAAGCAAGCCCTCTACCACTGAGCTACAACCCCAGTCCAAACTCAACTGATGTTTGACAAAGGTGTAAAAGTAATTCAGTGGAGGAAGGTAACCTTTTCAACAAATAGAGTGGGAACAATTGACATTCATAGGCAAAAAAAAAAAAAAAATAAAGTAAACTTTGACTGCCACTGCCCACCTTATGCAAAAATAACTCAAAATGGATCACAAACTTAAATATAAAGCATGAAACTATCCAAGTTTTAAGAAAATAAAACATAGGAGAAAATTTTCATGATCTAGGGCCCAACAAAGTGTTCTTAAGTTTGGTATCAAAAGCAAGACCCATAAAAGGGAAAAATCCATTAAATTGGAGTTCATCAAAACTAAAAAAAAGTTTTGCTCTATGTAAGGACCTATTAAGATGATGAAAAGCCAAGCTGCAGACTGAAAGAAAATATTAGCAACCCATGTATCTGACAAAGGACTCATATCTAGAACATATAAAGAAATATTAAGGCTAAACAATCCAATTAGAAAATGGAAAAAAGAGATGCATAGACATTTCATCAAAGAGGATATACAGATGGCAAACAACACATGAAAAGATTTTAACATCATTAGCCATGAGGGAAATTCAAATCACAGCCACAATGAGATATCATTTCATGCCTATCAGAATGACTGAAAAAAAAAATAGTAGCGGTACCAAATGCTGGAAAGAATACAGAGAAATTGGAAACACATACATTGCTGGTATTCTTCAATAGATTAATGGTTAAATGAACTACAATACAGTCATGCCAGAAAATACTACTCAGCCATAAAATGGATTATTTGTTCATGCAATATGTGAATGAATACTCTAGGAATTTTGCTGCATGAAAAAAGCCAATCTTAAAAGATTACATACTGTATGATTATTTATATAAAATTCTTAGAATGAAAAAAAAATAGATGTAGGGGACACATTTGTGGGTTCCAGGAGTTAGACAATGAGGCAGATAAGAAATTGGACATGGTTACAAAGGGTAGCAGGAAGGATTCTTGTGATAGTATAGTTCTCTATTGTCAGTGGATAAATGAAACTTCACATGTGATAAATTTGCATAGAACTAAATAAACAGGGACATAAATACAAATAATTACAAGTTAAAAAGTGGATAGATGATAGCAATATCCTGGTTGTAATATTATAGTATAGTTTTTTGCATGTTATTTTCTTTTTCAAATTTTTATTTGTTTTAATTAGTTATACATGATAGTAGAATGCATTTATGCACTTTGATATATCATACATAGATGGGATATAATTTCTCATTTTTCTGAGTGTACATGTTGCAGAATCTTATTGGTCGTATAGTCACATATATACATACAGAAATAATTCTACTATCTTTCCTATCCCCACATTCCGTCCTCACCCCTCCCATCACTCTCCTCTACCTAATCTAAGGTAATTCTGATAATTTAGCTTCTAGCCCCCTGGTTCCTTCAAGATGCTCATTTCCTCTTAGTCATTAAAATCTTCTCTCAGGTTTTTACTTAAACAGAATAATAATTAATAATAACTTTGAAGAGGAGTTGCACATAGAGCCAATTATTATTTTAAAATATTTCAAATATAGAACTGATCCTGAGAAGTCAGCTCCTTTATGTCCCTCAGTACCTGCCCCACTGCACTCAGTAAATTAATCTGCTGTTGTTCCCACTGTCCCACTAGCCAAATGGGAAAGAGAACCGGGCATATACCTTGATGCATCTGTCGTTTTTCCCTTTCTTTTATCATTATTATTATTAACACTTATTAATTATATGAATTACTGGGCTACACTGTGATATTTCCACACAGGAATACATTATGCATTATCATTCCATCCATTTTTCTCCTCTCATGCCTCCTTCACACCTCCCCCTCTAGTCCCTAGTAATCCCTCTTCTTTCAGGTCAATATATATATATTTTTAATTTCCACATACAAGAAAGATCATCTGATACTTGTCTTTCTGTGTCTGGCTTTTTAATACATCATTTAACACGATGTCTTCCAGATATCAATTTTGTTGTGAGTGACAGGATTCATTCTTTTTTAAGTTTCATACTCTTCTATTTTACATATATTGATTTATCTGTTGATGGGCATCTGGGATGATTCCATATCT